TTTAACATATACGAACTCGCGGCGAGTGAGGGTGAGGGTGGAGAAGTGAGAGTGAAGTGGGTGAAGAAGTGCTCCACCCTCATCCTCACTTCTTCACCCTCAATTATGCACGTTTATCCTTTTACACCTTAACGCTTTAACATATAAGAATCCGCGGCGACGGCGATTTCCGGATGATGCCGGCTCTTTTCAAAAAAAGCGGACTCCTCTAATATTTTGAATTTGTTTCGTAGAAAACGTGCACTAGGCGGACTGAAAGGAAGATATTCGTGAGCAGCGTGAAAAACTGCATCGAATGGTGTATCTTTAAGCCAGAAATAAAATAGTGCTTTACGTTTGAATTTGGAGCGCGTTCGTCTAATGAGAAATTAAAATGGAGAAAACGCGACAGAATCACATTTCGGTAAAAGTCAATCCTAGTAAAAATCTTAGACACTTCTTAAAATTATCCTACTAAGGTCCTAACCTCTAAGATTTTGATAAGGTAATCTAAGATCTTAATAAGGTTTAGTGACTCTACTTCCATTCACCCCTTTGTTTTGCTCTCATTCATCCATATAAGTACGTTAACATCGAAAATATGAGTGATTTATGGTTATTTTTCTTCCAGACTCTGCTCTCTCGAAAGTGTTCAACAACTTTTTCAGAGAGTGTACATACAGGTCAAGGTCCATAGTTGGACACCCGAAAATATCAAATTTCTCTTCATTCTTCAACAGTGTTCAACTACTGCTTTGGATAATGCGAATTATAAATTCAAAAATTCTAGCGAATCTCGAATAAATACTATTTGAAAAAACGTCATCGTTTTCATTATTAAGATCCTGACAGCTTCTTATCCAACCTTAAAAAAATCTTAAAAGAAGGCCGAGCTGAAAACCTCTTTCCGCAACGGTGAAAGAACTTTTTCAAACTTGTTCCATGTTTTACCTTTGGTACCCATATGAAAAAAGTTCTTTCATCGCTGCGGAAAGAGGTTTTCGGCTAGGTCTTTTTTCATCGGACTACAATTTGTCTCGGCTACAATATATGATACGTTACAACATGAAATTCAAAACTCCGTTTTTGCTTGAAATCCAGGTCCCGTGGGGAAAATTCGAGTAAAAATTCGATATCTCAGCAACAAAGCTGATTACGCCCGAACCAAGTGGGGTTCTTCATAGCCTATGAGGATCTACATTTTCAAAATAGTTCTATTCAAAAATGTTTTTAGCACCTCAGGAGGTTCTCTCGTTAAGATTTGTCTAAGATCTTGATAAGATTCGAGTAAGTTTCTCACCCGGGAATTTTGTTCGTGAAAACTCAACTTTTTCTAAATATAAAGATATTATTCCTGGTCAGCGCGAGTTCCTCTATAAGTTATTAAGAAGTGAAAGTACTTGCAGTGTGACAAGTATTCATCAAATGAGGTAAGTACTTACAAGTAAATTTACTTTTGGAAAAAAGGAAGTACCGGCTTTATTAAGCAAGCAAATACTATTGTAGCTATCATAGAAAATATACTATTATGTTTTGATGACAAGGATAGAGCAACACATTTTGACTTATTCAGCTGCCGTCATAATTCAGTCACTGGTTTTTACCGCTACTGTTGTAAAACTTTCAAATTGTTTTTTCGTGTTGTCACACTTGATACATTGCGTCATTTGATAACGTTGAAAACGCAAAAGAAAGATCAAAAAGAACAAAAGGACTTTTTTAGTCATGTTTTTTTTCTTTTGGGAAAAGAACACAAAATGCTTCTTTTTTTTTTATTTGAATATACATACAATAATACTATCGATAAGAAGCTACTTAGTTGCTATAATTCCTAAAATAGAATTAAAGAATTATGTTAAGTCCCTTTGTGAAATTTCTCATTCATCTATTTAACATTTAACTAAACATGTTTCTGACAAAATTATATAATAGTTTTATTAATCACCAACTCATCAGAAGTAAAAAAGAATAGATCGAAATTTTTTTTTTTTCTCAAAAATATTAACGTATACAAAGGAAGAAGAAAGGGAAGAGTCAATTTTTATTATTTATTTGAGAGTGGGAGGAGACAGGTACATAAAAGACGTCGTTATTCTTAAAGAGAAAGAGAAAAAAACAAGTGACTCAGATCATTTCATATTAAATGTTCGCCGAAAAAATTGTAGTAAGATTATATCCTTTCTATCAATGCGACCGGTTCTATGTAACTTGGAAACCGTTATCAACCTCATCTAACTTAAACTCTCAAATCTCGTTACAGTTCTATACAAATATTTTCTATATATAACAGAAAATCTTATTCATTTCGTTTAGGATCTATGTCTTCTCAATTATCTACGGAAAAATTAAATAAATGTCAAATGAAATCATGTTCACGTGATATTGAAGCACATTGTTATCATTGCCGACGTGATTTATGCTCAAAACATTTCTCAAAACATAAACAATCGCTTCATAATCAAATTGATCCTGTTGCTAATCAAATTAATGAACTTATTCATCAGATTAATTTATTAATTCTTCCAGAATTTACTCAGGTACCGTTACGTGAATTAGAACAATGGCGAAAAGAAAGTCATCAATTAATCGATCAATTATGTTTAAGAAAACGTCGTGAAATTAAAAGAAGCGCACAAAAATATGAAAAAGAATTTATTTGTTATAATATCGAACAACGAAAAATACTAGAAGAAATTAAACAAAAACTTCTTCAACTTGTACATGATAAAAATGCGAATCGTCGACAAATTGAAACTATAAAACATCAATTAGAAGATATTACATTGAGTTTTATCCAATTTTATAAACGATTTATCCATCTCGAGACAATACCGCTGTCAATCGAAGATGAGTACGTGAAAGTTTCTAAAACTACAATTTATTTATATAATCTTAATAAACCAACAAAACAATTTCATTTAACACGAGGAACATTATCAGCATTAGCAACAAATGAGAACTATATTCTCACAGAAGAATATCCAAACTTATGTTTGTATAATTATCAGCGTCGACTTTGCGAATTAGTATGGAACGATAATGAAGTTTACGATATGTGTTGGTCATCGTCTCTAAAAGTCTTTATTATTCTGACTTTGTCAAATCTATTTATACTTGATGTTCCAACGATGAAACTAGAAAATTTTCCTGGAATGGAATTATATCGCAATGAAAGATATTTTCGATGTACATGTTTCGAGCAAAAACTTTTTATTTCCTATTGGGGTAGTACATTGGTAGACGAATATTCTCTTTTATCCTTTAATCGTGATAAACGGTGGCAAACACCGATTACATGCGCCTATGATGAACAAATATTTGATATAAAATATAATGTTAATGAACAATTAGGTCTGACAATTTCCAACACATCTAAACATCAATGGCGTGTTGATGTGAGAAATTCAAATACAATGGATTTATTATGGTCATTAGAAACACCCTTATCTCAGTTTCATTCTTCATTAAGACTGTGTCCATTACCAGACAGTGAATGGATTGTGATTGAATGGGGTGGACGACAATTATATGAGCTATCAGTAGATGGCAGATTGAAGACAAAAATTCATTATGAGAATGAACTGAAAAATGTTGCAATGTTAAACGGGAAAATAGTGGCAGTCCGAACAGTTGATAAACTTGATTTATATGATCTTAATTATAAGCTACTAACTACTACTATGAACTAAAAATAACTGCATTCTGATAAATGCATTTGCCATATAAAGCTGGAAATCTTCTACAAGTATCGTGATAGATAATACGTCTGTGATTTTAACGTCGAAACACAAGCTAATTGAATAAGGAACATTTTTCACACGAGAAGCTAGAATTAGTTTGCTTCGTGTCTTCTTTTTGATCTAATCCAAAACTTCATTATTGTTTATAATATATGACGACAATGTTTTCTAGCCACTCTTACTTGTTCTTTGCTTCTATTTACAGAAATAGCCGCCGAGTTGTTTAAATCTCAAAGGCATCCTACATTGACGATTAATACTCTTCATTCATTCCAATTTAACTTGTTTTCCTACAATCAAAAATAGCTCGTAGTTAATTCAGTGAATATAGAATCACAGCGTTCTTCTACCTCTGTTCATAGCGATGCAATAAATTTCTAGTACAGTAGAGTAAGTCAGATAAGTACAAATGTCTCCTTCCCTTCTAAACTCTCCGAAAAACAATAATCTAGATAGATAATCTAGTTGAGTAACTGAACAATAGAACTCAACGTTTAATTACAGCAGCAGTCTCAATCTATTTATCTCTCATTTCTATATTCAAAATAAAAATTAAATTAAATAAGAGATAGAAGTAATCCAGATTATCTTAAAAGGTAATTAGTACCGTATTTAAAAAAAATTAGTTTGCAAAAAGAAGTTAATTTTAATCTTCGCTTTCTTCATCCTCATCGGTAAACGTCAACTGTTTGTAAACATTCATCCAAACATTTGGAACTGGATAATGAATGTTCAAAAAGCAGAAGAACTATCAACTATACGTGTTGAACAAGAAGATAAACAAGGCCAGACAACGAGAAAAAGAAAAAAACAAGATGTTGATCACAATATTCATTTAGTTTCTGCCAGACAAACATTAATGAGTGAAGAAATAGACTTGGAAGAATATCAAAGACTTTGTCGTCATTTTGGATAGAATTATTTGTAATTGTTTAAGAAAACTCATGATTCAGATATTAGCACGGATGATGATGAAGACAGCGAAGAGAAAATTAGATATATCTAATATCTAATTTTCTGTATAATAACTGTATATTTTTATGAAATGAGCTTTTGCAAGATCTTGTTTAATCTGATTCATATCGATGGTGCGGTACATTTTTTGAAAATATGTATCCTTCGCTTTTCCTGAGACTTTAACTATAGTTCAGTAAATCTAGCATTCCCCAACACTGTACAGTTTTCCATGTTTTAATTCAAAATGTAACTACAAACTCATTTGATAGTCAAAGAATAATGTAATGTGGTCCTTAGGTCGTGATTTTAATCTTTGTACTGTTCTTCTCTTTCTTACTAAATAAAGTTTATATCAACTACAAACTCAACATTTTCAGGCATCGTTCACGTTGGATCAGATAAAACGAACATTACTGACTATTTTTTGACTGTTCAAAAGAGTGTGTTCGTCTAATGAGAAAAGTGGAGAAAGCGTGGTAGGATCATTTTTCGGTAAAAGTTAATTTTGTTCGTGAAAACCCAACTCTTTCTAAATATAAAGATATTATTCATGATCAGCGTGAAATTCTGTATGCTGTGTAGTATAAAAAAAGGAAGGGTATGTCTAGGATTCTGCAAGGAAATTCACAGGCCTCTTGATTAAGATTACTAATTCTTTACCAAACATTCGAGTATTTGGATTAACTACATTCACTAGTGTTAATATCCATTGAAAAGCATCAAAAAGATATCCAAATCATATTTCTCATCATGTCTGGAAAACTTGCTTTCTCAGATTATTTTATACCACTCTGATTGCATACACGATCTCACGCTGATCATAAATAATATCTTTAGATTTAGAAAAAATTGAGTTTTTACGAAGAAAATTGCACTTTTACTGAAATGTAATGCTCTCATGTTTTTTCCATTTTTTTCTGCTTTTAGAATTCGAACGGAATTCTATAAGATCCTAATGGAACCATGAACACTAGTCGGAAAAATTTGCTGAGATTCTGATAGAATTGGCAATAAATCTAAAAGAAGTCCTGACATCTAAGATCCTGCTAGGAAGATATTAAGAAATCATAAATAGGTATGGGACGAATCGAGCGCTCGTCACCCGAGCGGAGAAAAAATGAGCGCGCTCGCGCCCGAGCGCATTTCAACGGTCGCTCAAACACATTTTACACGAGCGCTCGTGCACTACAATATATTTTTTTATTTACATAATAGATGAACAGCTATTTATACAGCAGTCTGTCTCACTCGGGCGACGAGCACACTACGTGCGTTTCGCTCGAGCAACGTCCGCTCGATTCGTCCTATAGATGTAGGGACTCTTACAATAAATGGTCATTATATCCCTGTTCTTATCAGTGCATAGACAAGTTGTACGACTCTCTGATCAGCATCCACATGGAAAATGAGAATGTAGGAAACTGCTTTTTGTCATCAACACACAGACTGAATGTGTACATGTGAGAAGGATTGAAAATTAACATTTCGTTTGCTGGAAAAGCATGATCTAATTAAAAAGATAAGAGGAACATATAGCAAAAACAAACAGGAAAATTAAACCAGTCAGTGTTAAATTATCTGACAGCTAATGAACTAAAAGGAAAAATCTACTATCTGTTTGCTGTCGTCTATATGAGTACATAGCATTACAATTGTCTTGTTCAAAAGAAAAGTTGATTGATAAAAATTAAATTCGTACATTTTATTCTTCGACCTACACGTATCAAGTTTTCCTACACTACAATGTGTTTGTCTTCAAAATCTGACTTTTTTTAAAAAGTTAGAAAACGTCTAAGACTTATCGTTGAAAAATGTGTATTACCACAACAACGATTGTTATATACCGTTCGATAGATCTTGTGTTAGACGCGTATGCACGCATATTGAACGTGTAAATACATTGTTTTTACAGACGTTATTATTTCTTTTTGCTTCGTGAAAAAATGAGGTACGCCAAGTGATTTTTCAAACTGGAATTTACTGTTTCAAATCATTTCTCTCCGAGACTTAATGTCTTATAACATCAATAAAATTCGCTAGAAAATTAGATGTTCGCTGAACTAAATTAAATAAAAATTGGATACCAGATGCAAAATCTCTCGATGAATCCGACAACGCGTTCCTTTTAATTTCTCCATTTTGACTTCTTCTTTGGCGTCAACATATTCTGGTTTTTGTCTAAATTTTAGTTTTCACAATGGTTGAAAAATAAAACGCTGTCAGATTCATCGAGACATTCTGCACCTGGCATCTAATCAAGGGGGAAACAGCTGATTTTTGAGCTTGAAAAACCAGTTTAAATCGAAAATCGGTTAAAATCGTAAAAAATCCTTAAAAATCTCTCATGATTTTATCTTTTTCTTCTTTACTTTCACTTCATTTTTCTGATTAGTATTTTGTACAAATAAAGGAGGTTCTGCACTATTTATCGCAGTCTTTTTACTTGATTTCCCAAACAAATCACAGGAAATCGGAAAAAATCGGCGAAAATCAATGAAAATCCGTGAAAATCGACGAAAATCGGAAAAATCCCCAAATCAACTGTTTCCCCCTTGCATCCAACTCTTATCTGATTTAGTTCGGTGCAGAGCGAGCACCAAGTTTTCTACTGTACTGGTTTTTTAGAAGATTGATCTGGATTGAAAATAACATTAATAACTATTTGCCATTTAACAGTATCTCCCTAAAAATAAGATCGTTACAGATTCAGTTGCGAGCACCTCCACCAATGACACTGCCAATATCTTCGCTTGAGTATGGGTACTGCAGAAAATTGACTACAAATACAGTAAGTGGAGAAATTATTCATACGACAAAAAAGAATTTTCTTGCAAGGACACTTTCTGCAAGAAGGAAACACGTTAAATAAACTTTTTTTATAACATTAAATTGAGTAAAGTTTGGGCTACAAAACTAAATAATTAATCTTTTTTGAATGAAGTTTCTCTTGTCTAAGAAATTTGTAAGAATCTCGTAAAGACAAGTGAAAATCTATTGAGGCGTACAAATGATCACAGCACATATCGAAAGGAATTCATGAGCAAATGAGTCATCGTCACTCAGTTACACGCAAATTATCAACACTCCACAGGGCTGTCACTTGCTGTTTACGAAGGGCTTGATGTGTAACAATGAAAAAGAGGACTGTCCCGTCTTAAAGCAAAGTTCTAAATTTGAGTTTCCTTTCCAGCACAGCCTCCGCAACGTCTGCTATACATAATCGCACGTGTTCACTCCCAACAGCGGAATAAATTCATGAATTAGAACCTAAGAATTTCAGAGAAAACTTTAGAATATATAAATTTTAGAATTTACAAATATTAGGTCACTCTCATAATAGAGACCTTCACGGGTTAAGAAAACGTAACCCGAACCCGACCCGACTGTCAAAATGCCGATTCGAACCCGACCCGATAAATTTTTACTCTTTTGTTTTGTTTTTAAGTTTATGTCTTTTTATTTATCTATTTGTTGGGTGGAAGGCATCACGTTAACGGCGAGTGACCTTTTGCTAATAGTCTGCTAATATTCCAGAAAATTTGGGCAATATATCTTTCTAAATTCGCAAAATCACCTCTAATAAAAGAGAAATGTTATCTTTGAAAATTGTGCGGATTGGAAGAACATTATTTTCCTTCAAGAAGAAAAGTGAGGAAGATATAACGCTCAATTTTCTGTAAAATTAGTAGACTGTTAGCGAAAGTACAAAAGAAAATTTCACTTCTTAATTCTTTGTTTTTATTGGGTTACAGAATTATTACACACAGTGTTCCTTTAGAACAAAAAAATCATAACTTTGGAAAGAACTGATATGGGTCCTCGTTTAAGGGTTTTTATCAGCTCACTTTCCTCTATTAATTGGCATAATATCATTAGAAACGGAGTTGGGCATCTGAAGACCTTGCCTCGTTAGTGAATGCAGGTGTTCTGAAATAAGTATTTCAATCGAGAATTCCGGTATAGTTAACTTTTCAACGAGTAATACAAAATTGAAATTATTATCTATATTTTACATTGCAAAATGTTCAATCCGAACCCGACCCAACCCAGCAACATCTTAACCCGAACCCAACACAACACGACAGCATCTTAACCCGAACCCGGCTTGAATCGGGTTCGGGTCGGGTTGTAGGTCTCTATCTCACAACGGATGAGTATTCCCTCCGCTAGACTCCAATGTCCAAAAAATCTAAAACTGTAGATGCCAGAATTTTAGAATTTAGGAATTGTAGAGCCTTTTTAATTTTTATAATTTATCGGCGCAGTAGATTTATTTTATAAAATGAATTTGTTTGTAGAAAATTCTAAACATAACAGACTAAAACATGTTCTATTTTCAGATAATACTAAGACGATCAGATGTAATTTTTCAAGAGTTTCGCCACGTTAGTTGTGTTTAAGATGATAAATTGAATTTTTACTGGAAATCTTGATCGTACATCGCAAGTTTAAATTTTAAAATCTCGGTATGGTCAATTTTAAAATTTTTTTTCATCATGTAACCAAGACTTTTCTCTTTCGAATAACGAGTAGTCTACCTCTTTTGTGCGCTTTCCTGTCAGAAATATAGACTTTTTTCATAAAATATCAATATTGAGTTCAGCACATTATTGGATAGCACAAAATGTTTATTTTGAGTACCCATACTGTTGTTACCAATATTAAATATTTCTGAGACTTTCAGAAGCAGCTTTCGAATATGCATAAGAACCGAATTTTTCTAAAATTCTAATATCTCAGTAAAATGCAAGAATCCAAAAGGAAGGCTACATCTTATAAAAGATACAAATCAATATTTTTCAATATATCTCTTTTGAGAAACAAATATTTTGGCAAGACATTACGTTTGTCAAAAGAGATACATTATCTCTCATTTCTATATTCTAACTAAAAATTAAATTATTAGGTGTAAGGTAGAAGCGATTAAGAAAATCTTTTCCGATGTTAACGTATAAATAAAAACGGTTCTGAACGATGGATGTGTATAATTAATAGTTGTGCATCATCGTTTAATTTGCAAAATAATAAAATTATACCTGTAAATGGTATGCGTCCTCGTGATTCGGACATTAGCACGGATGAGGATGAAGAGAGTAAATTATCCTGTCTGACAGCTGTAGCTCGAGTTAGGTTAAGTTTTTACATAAACTGACTTTTTAAAAACGTACCACAGTTCAACTTTGAGACGCCCACTGTTCAATCAACGGTTTTGTCTGCTCAACGTAGTTTCATCGGACTTTATGTTTGTTCTATTAGGTAGATGTGCCCTTTCTCAACGAAACTTTGTACGAGCTACGGTTCGGCAGATATATCGGAAACAGTATTTTTTTCCAGTATATGGATCAGTCTATTTATCATCTTAATCATAGACACACAAACGATAATTAAACAATCGTCGAACTATGACGATTGCTATACTATGTTATTCATCGTTAAGTAAAACTGTTCTCTGTAGTATGTGTGCAGTGAATTCTATGTGCAGAAGTAATAGATGTTTTTTCTCTCTATCTAATATAAATCATAAACTGTTATTTACCGATACTTTTAGCTCTGCTCATTGTAAAATGTATCGTTGTTCAAAAAGTACATTTGTCTGTTTGCAACTTCTCATATTCAAGAGTTGTTGATAAAAATGCGCTGCATAAGAGAATTCCTTCAATAACAAAACTGCACATTTTCTGCGAACCAGGCACAGATCTATTAAGATCTTGTTTAAATATCATTCATTAAAGTACTAATTATCGCTAAACATCAACTTAATTGCTTCTATCTTATACTTAATTTAAATTTTAGTTAGGATATAGAAATGAGAGATAATTAATGTATCACTCGTTTGAAATTTCTCAAAACTGACACTTTTTAATTAATTAAAAGAAATAATTGAAAAAGACAGGTATTCAAAAGAGTACGGAATTTGTATATAATGGACAACGATTCGATATTTAAACTAAAATTTGAAATTAAAAGAGAAATAAGAAAAGGAAACGTTTTTCTCACTGAAACGAGAACGGTTTTTAATTTTGGCGAAACTGTATATCTGTAACTGTATCACATAATGACTATTCACCACATAACTTCACTCAGATTCTATGTTGTTCACGGTAATGTTGATGTATCATTTTATGCTAAGTATGATCTTTTAAATTTACTTTATTGATTTCTAGTAAAAGATGAACATAAAAAATTCTGTTATATATGTACATGAAAAAGTCATCATTGTCTAATTTCTCTAATAAAAACAATATTGATCCAAAGGATATGTTAAAATATGGTTTTCTATTGATAAGCATACGATTCCTAGTAATTGTGTGTATGCCATACAATATTTTAAGCCCAAAAATATGTTTGCAAATTTCTATTCTTTACAAAAGTATTTGCACGTACAATATGATTGCTGTATTGATACTGTATGAGCAAACTAATACCATTCTTTTATGTAATGCATCTGTCTACTGTCTGTACATTCATTCACATTTATACAATTTCAAACTAACCTTCATTGTGACGTGTCAGATTTTAACAGACACTTTATGAAATATTTTGAAGAACCAACCGCAACTTGTTCTGACAAACCGTTGATAGATCTTCAAAGTTCCATCATTATACAATCCGTTCTTTTTTCACATTTTATCCCATTGAAAACTAAAGATTTTGTATCTCTTATGAGAAGCTATGGAAACAAATTAACAATAGCAGAGTTAAAGATGAAGTAATCGTCTTAATTTTGTTGATAAATTCGATTAACCGACATTAGAGAGAAGCCCATCACTTACAGTTGCTCACCCACACCCTCTACAGATCTCTACATAATTCAGTTAACAATCGGTCGACAAAGAAATTGTTATCATCATCGCTATGAATCGTTGTCGAAGTGAACAATCATTCCATTTTCCTTATATTGAAAAGTGTCTAGTGTTGGGATCGCTCAAATGTTGGCTGATGAATAAATTTGTGTAGTAATAGTTGAATAACATCATAATATGATAAGGATAAGTATAAATAAATAAATATGACCCTATGCCACTTATATCTAATTATCGTATTGTGCTTTTATTCATTGTTTTGAGTGTGTTCATTTGAGCTAAACTTTCTTTGCTAAATTCATCCGTGTAAATCTTCTCCAAAGATTACGATTATATTAAATCACTTTTTCTACTTGCAGTTGTCGAGAATCACCTATGACATACTGTTCCTCTCCCTTGTTTTTCTCTTATCTTCAACGAAATACAACCTTCCCAAATTTTATAAGTTTTATAAAAGAATTGTTTAATTAAGTTGAAATTTATACTTGAAAACAGAAGTCTCATAGAAAAAATTGTATTAGTCCAGTCAATCTTTGTCTCGTGGTAAGCATCGTTTGTATGTACAACTTTTTATCATTATTTTATAAAACGATAAATTTTCAATTTTTATATTAAAAAAAACAACATCCGAGAAATGTTTTTGATCAAAGTCGAAAAAAAAACTGCACTATAAAACTAATTTGCGTACTTTAATAACAATCAGCACATTGCACTTTCTCTATTTCTCTAACAACTGAATAATTGTTGTTTTCCTTGACCTTCAACTCAAATCAACAAGGACATCATTCTATACGCAGTGAAAAAGAAGAGAAAAAAAAAAGTCGAGTCATAGATATCAAAATTTTTTTCTGTTGTCACACAAAGTTTAAAAGGTACAAATTGTCTGTTCTATCAGGAAAAGTAAATGCAATTTCCTTGACTCAAAACGATGAATGTATCCTGAACTCTTTGACAGAAATTTCAAGCTAAGAAGTTATTAAAGTGAAATTCCACAGATTTGCTTCCTCATGCAACAACTATTTAGGTTTATTTAGGAAGCAGAACATTAACATTTCTGAACACTATCATATACCAACAAAAAGTGTTCAAATACTATTAAAGTTAGAAAAGTAAAAGGAACCAATACCATTTATCGTAGATAGATAATAAAATAAATATTTGAATCAGCCAAAAATAATTATTTTTATTTTTCTAAATGAATTTTTTCTTCATTTTTTTCTTTTCTTTCTCAATACATAACATCATACATACACGTTCAATAACAAAAAAAGAAAACTGAATTAGAACCATCAACAAATGTTTATTGTTTTTCACCCATTCTGTTTCATTACTAAAGCGAGAAAAAAAGAGACAATAACAACAAGATAAAGAAGAAAAAAAAACGAGATGCAAGTAGCGAAACATGTATAAACAAAATGAGAAAGAAAAAGAGAAAGCAGACTAAATAGAACAATCAATGAACAGTGAAAATAATACGCTTTTATTCTTCTTCACACACGCATACACTCTACAACTAGAATATTTTCATCACAGCAGAAAGAAAAACAAACAAACAAACAAACAATAACAAAATGAAAGGACATATATCTGAAAAATCACAGTTTTTCCACTATTGTTTTTGATAATGATAATATATATCATCATCATCCTTGTCGATCAATTGTCTTTATGATTTAAACACTTTGATAATTCGTGTCACTGTTTGACGACACATTGGACATTCTTTCATATAAAAATCATTACCACACGATGTACAAGCAATTAAATGGCCACATTCTAAAATTCAGATAAAAAGACTAAGTGCACAGTTTGAGTTTGTTTTTTATTTAATGAAGAGATTGCACAAAAGGTAACAATGAAATAAAACATTGAAATTTTCTTGTTTAAAATACGACAATGTTAGAAATAGACCAGGATAAAATCAGTTTTATAAGGGAAGTTAAAATACGTTTGCATATTGTAAGAAAAAAGATTCTCAAAGAAGATCTCATTTTATACCTCTGTTTAGCTAACACGTCTAACTATTAGCCAGTCTAGTCATGAAAAATTGTAACTTTTCTCCTTCATAGCTAGGAGTGGCACTTTACTAGTTACTCGGCGTTACCTTACCAGGTAAAATAACGAAGTTACTTACTTCGTTACTAGTAGCGAGCAACTATTTTCGTAACTTAGTTGAGTAACTCATTTCGTTACTTCTCTGGAAAGTAACGATTTTTCATTACTTTCTGGAGGAGTAACGAACTTAGTTACTCGTTACTAGTAAAAAAGTAACTAAAGTTCGTTAATAGTTACAAGTAAAGTAAAGACAAAGTGCCACCCCTATTCATAACAAAAACAATCATTAATCTTCCAAAACTATAAGTACATCTACGGTAGATTAACCATGCTTCTTTTGCAAACAAAAATATTTAAATGTTTGCACCAGAATGATAGACCGTCTCTGCTAAAATCACTAAATATTAATTTCTGCAAGAACAGTGATTTGTAATTGCTTTCACGTGTGACATTTGAAAAAAAATCACTACTATCTTTTCTACGATATCTCTCGACTTTACTGGCGCAGCTGATTCAATGAAGAATCTAGACGTATACAATTTAAACATAAAAACATCAGGAAATTGTTTCAATGATTCTACGTAGCGAAACGCAATACATACCAATAAACACGCAATCAATTTGTTTTTCCCAACATATTTTACACATATCACTATCACTCTCTTCTTCATAATAGGCTAATGGACGGTAATTTTGTTGTGCTTTTGGTTGTTTTCGTTTTGTTGTAGTTTTTGATGATTTTTTCTTCTTCGAAATAATTTTTTTATCTACAACTTTTCGTTTTTCACTACTATGCTGTGATTTGTGTTGAAATGACGATTTTTCTTTTCTATTTAATTGACGTTTAGGACTAAGACGTTTAATAGATGAACGTGTTTGTGTAGATAGACGAGTTGACGAAGAAGAAATCGATATTGACGAACTTGAAACTAAAACGATAAATAACAATAAAACGTTCAGAAGCTAAATATCTTGATCAAATCAAGTTTTCTAACTGAAATATATAACTCTCGATAAGTTTAGTATTCTAGTACTACACACAAACCATGCTGTATATTCTGATTCTGTTTTCTTCGACTGGTGGAGTTATCGTTTAAATAAAAAATAGCTGCTCATCTCGGATATTACGAATTAACTATCTCTCTTCCTAAAAGCAGGTTTATGTAATACTCTAACATCTTAAATGATTTTTGATTATATGATCTGTACCAGTATTTCTTCTTTCTGTTTTCTTTTCAGTCACTTTTCGTTTTCCACCTGATAATGATAATTTTCTTTGCTTGATACTTAAACACTGTTTGACTTTTTCACGTAATTCTTCTTTTCTTGCTGTCTGTGGATATTTGATACGATGTCCATTTAAAATTTCTTTCAATTGTTTCGTTTTTAGTCTTAATATATCGTCAACGGTTACTGTTAAATCAACACATTCTTCTTGATCGTCATTTCTATTGCGCTCATTTATGACTTCGATGACATCGTCAGACTGAGTTGTTCTACAATGAAAAAATAAGGTATACATTATAGTCTAATCTCGATAATAAAATTTGGAAATTGTTTCTTCAAACAATTTCTTAGTCGCTGTTCTCTCATAAAAGACACGATAAAATATACCTTACGATGTTGCAATTTTTATAAGATTGACACAACTATTTTATCTATCGTCATTGTATCAGAAGCGAAAAGGCTTAGGGCGAAATGCTCTCTATACCGTAAAAGAAATACTGGATCTTTTCGAAGAAAATCACACCTTAGGTATTGAACACTGTCGTCGTCTTCATCTTCCATTGCCTGTGTTAAACGATGAATCAATACGTCACGTTTACCAGTTGCTTTAAGATGACGCCGCGTTAACTCTTTCTGTAAATCACCATATTTCATTACTGTTAAATCGTTCACGGGTGCCATCTGTAAAGAATGGATAAGAGAGAATTGAACAGTGTAAGTGTGGTTAGTTAGTACACAAATTGAACGGACGCCAAGATGCGCTCCTTGATTTCAACTATTATATCGAAAGAGAGAGACACGTGTTGTCGATATGGATACGAACACGAATAATTAATAGAGAAAGAAAGAAAAGCTGACCGACAAGGACACACTGAAAAACATACATTGGATAAATAGCAAAAGCCAGTCAAAATTGAGCTGTGAGACCTCACAAAGTTTTATTCTAAGTCTTCATAGTCGAATGAATAAGACAGTTTGTGTACGAAATGCATTTTCCAAGCATTTAACTGTTTTTGTGGATAATTCGTTTATCTTCCAGATGGTGCTACTAGTCCGTACTCTGTAGTCTCTAGCAAATACATTCATAAGATGAGTACGACTTACTCACATCCCACATATATGAATGAGTACTCGTCGCATTTTTCACCAGAGTACTACGTTGAGTTCTCAGTCTACACTAGGGGTAGATACAATACACGATCCCAGGTGAAACACTTCTTGTAAGACCTTGAAAGATCTGATGTTTTCTTGTGAAATCTTGTAATAAGGTCTTACGATATGATCATACAAGACCTTATTATAAGATAATATAAGATCTTATGGAACCTTGTAACTTCTTGTTGTAAGATCCCCCAAGATTTGGTTATGAGAAGTGACAAGGTCTTGTAAGACCTTATGACAAGAATTCATATGATTTTGTAAGATCTTACAAAATCTTGTACCAGACATTATTAACTTTTATATATTTTTTTGTCACAAGACTATGTAAGATCTTACAAGATCATATGAATTCTTGTCATAAGATCTTACAAGATCTCATAAGATCGATGACTCATCTCTACCATATAAATTTTGCGACGTAATACAGTATATATATAACATCATTCTCTTTG